GCTAAAGTGCAGTGGTATGGTTGCAGCTCACTGCAGCTTCAAAGTCCTGGGCTAAAGCAATCCTCCTGCTGCAGCCTCCTGAATAGCTAAGACTACAGGTGCATGCCACATGTCTGGGTAATTTTTCGAAGTTTTTTTTTTTTTTTTTTTTTTTTTTGTAGAGGAGGGTTCTTGCTATGTTGCTCAAGCTTGTCTTGAACTCCTGGCCTCAAACGATTTTCCTGCCTCAGCTTCCCAAAGTGCTACGGTTACAGGCAGGAGACACTGAGCCTGGCCCATGTATCCTTTTGGAGCACCAGGTTGGGCCCACGGATGGGCAGCCTCTCATTCCCATTCCTTTCTGTGACCCATGTTCCTCTCTAGCATGCATGACACCATGACACATTCAGAAACTTTTCATTCACTGAAATCTGCTTAATGTACGTCTTAGCTTTCTTCTACCTATTCTTATTCAAGTCTCAGTTTGCCTCTTATCTCATCTGTGAGCACCTTTTCAAACTCCTCGGACATCTTTAAACTTCTGTAACACTGTCAGTCTTAAGAAACAATTTGATCTTTTACTTGTTATTGTATGCTACTTTATTGCCCTCTTCACAGCTCCAAATAGGTCGTATGTTTCCTGCGGTTACAGATCAGGTTCTGCGGACTAGAACCGTCCCGCAGGCTCTCTATTACAAATTTCTCCAGAGTATAGTGTTTTCCCTCTAGAATGTGTGGAAGAGGATTCTTGAGAAAAAGAGAAAAAAAATTAGAACTCTGGTTATTTATCAAAAACTGGAAGAAAGGCAATATATTAATATTTGATGCATTGTTAGAATATATAATTTATAGTTTCACAGCACATATTCTGGAGATACAAGCTCAAAACTTGTTATTTATATGGGTATGTAATATAAAAAGTTTGGAGACCATTGCTTTAGAGGACTACAGAAAATATCCATTAAATTCTTTTTATTATATTTAGTGATAAAGGAAAACCTGAAGGAAGAGGCAATGATACTCAGTGTTTGGCCTAAGAACCTCATTGTGGATATGTTGGGTTCGGAGAATAGCCCCTTTCCTACTGGCTGGTGACATGGTTATGGGAATGGCTCTTCAGTGAAACTGTACGAGGACTACTGGGATAGATCAGCATTCAAATTCTATGTACCAGTGATTCCTCATCCAGTGGATATATTGGGCATGCCAGGACAACCTGACATCAAATTAAATAAACTCAGAGATTTTATGGTTATAGGAAAGATAATAATAATTTACTTTTCTGTAAAATCTCTAATCTAGTTTCATATTCAGTTTTAAAAAATTTTAGCTCTTAAAAACAATACGTGTGATAAAATCCTGTGAAATCTTACTTGGTGAAGTTCTGATCTGTAGCTCCTTGTCGACTAATAGGTGCAAAGCACAACTTGTAAGTGGCATTCCTGAAATCTAAAGACCCTTTGTTGGAAGAGATGGACGCAGCTAATCTCAGTAATTATCTTTGAAATATTTGATGTTTTATCACTCTCAACATACAAAGCAACTTATACTAGTTCTAATTTTGAGGTGGAAATCTGATTTGGGAAATCAATAAATCATGTTATCTGCATATGAATAGGTGCTTTCCAAGAGTTTGAAAACTAGTTCTTTTAAGTAAACATTATAAATCAAAAACATTTATTTTAGGCTATTATGATCACATTTACACCCACTGTTGTTTCTTAGTGCATTTTGCAAACTTTAAATTTAAAGTTAAAACTAAATCAATAATTTAAAAAGTGGGATCTAATGATCCTAGTGTCTAATGTGCACGTTTGCCTCAGCAGCTGCGGTCCGCCTTGCTTTTTAGTTAGATCTCTGTAATCATTTTTGTGTTATTTTTCTCAATGTCCTACATTATTATGATTCAAAAACACATACTCACTCACATCCACCTGCACAAAAATATTATACCCTATGACTTCCCTTTAAAAATTACACTCATTGATACTATCTGCTGAAGTTTGCACCTTCTTCATCCAGGTTCAAAATATTTTACATGTTTGATTCAGTTAACTGAGGAGTTTAAAACTAGGTTCAAGAGCAGTTGTAAAAGCAGATACCTTTCATGAAATTTCCTGAAATTTCAGCTCCACTATTTCAAGAAAAGAAGAGAAAGCTCAAAATAAAAATATTACTAGCTTTCTTGCAAAGTTAATATTCTGATTATAATTGACAATTATTTTTCCTCATTTGTGTTCCTAACCTTGAATTCAGGGTTCTAACTACTGCTAGTATTTATTTATTTCCTATATAGACAGTCAGGTGTCACTTAAAAATGGGGATACATTCTGAGAAATGTGTTGTTTGGTGATTTTGTCATTCTGCAAACATCATGGGGTGTACTTACACAAACCTGGATGATACAGCCTACTATAGACCAAGCTATATGGTCCACATGGCCTGTTGCTCCTGGCTGTAGACCTGTACATGTTACTGTAGTGAGTGCTGTAGGAAATTATAGCACAATAGTATGGTAAGTATTTGTACATCTAAACATATCTAAGTGCTGGCCTTACAGGTGTGAGCCACCACGCCCAACCTACATTTTTCTAAACATAGAAAAGGTACAGTAAAAATACATTATAAAAGATAAAGAATGGAATATCTATACGGGGCACTGACCATGAGAGGAGCTCACAGGACTGGAAGTTTTCTAGGTAACTGAGTTGATAAGTGAGTGGTGAGTGAGTGTGAAGGCCCACGGCATCAGCGTATACCCCTGTGGACTTTATAAACACTGGACACTTAGAGTATACTAACTGTATATGAAAAAATTTCTTCTTCAATAATAAATTAACCTTAGCTATGGTTACTTTTCTATTTTATAAACTTTTTAATCTTTTTGACCTTTTTTGTAATAACATGTAGCTTAAAACACACAAAATATTTTCTTTCTTTATATCCTTATTTTATAAGCATTTTTCTATTTTTAATGTCTTTTTTTTAGCTTTTAAACGTTTTTTGTTAAAAACTAAGACATAAACACACATTAGCCTTGGCCTATACAGGGTCAGGGCTGTCAACATTCCTGTCTTCCTCCTCCACATCCTGTCCCACCAGAAGGTCTTCCAGGGCGATGATGCACATGGGACTGCCATCTCATGTGGTCACAATACCTTCTTCTGGAATATCTCCTGAAAGACCTGCCTGAGACAATTTGACAGTTAACATTTTTTCATATAAGTGGAAGTACACTCTAAAATAATGACAAAAAGTGGAGCACAGTAAATGCATAAACTAGTACCATATTTATTATTATTATCAAGTGTTATGTACTGTCCGTGATCGTATATGCTGTGCTTTTATACGACTGGCATTGCAGTGAGTTTGTCTATACAAGCATGACCATAAACACATGAATAACGTGTCGTGCTAGGATGTCATGACGACTGAAACGTCATTAAGTGATAGGAATCTCTCAGCCCCATTATAATCTCAGGGGATAGTTGCGTACACAGCCCATCATCGACCGAAATCTCACGATGTGGGGCGGGATTGTGTGTATAAAGTACACGTATACTTTTATAATGGATAAATGGAAGCATTACTTCCATGAAATGTCATTGATTGAGTCTATACATGCCAAATTAATATCTCTTTTGTTACATCAACTTATTAAGATCATTAAGTTTTGGGAACTTAGGATAGTTTGTTTTTTTGTTTGTTTTAGGGAATCATACTTCATTTTTAGGGGACCCATTGCATTCTGTTGGTAACTGTCAAAAATGCTCAAAAGTACTTAAAACTTTGGACTCGTTTTTGCACCTACTGGATAAATTAGGTTATTTGCTAGGTCAGTCTGTCTTTCAAATATAACAATAGTCACAGATGTTGAACTAGTATAGTTCTGATTTCAGTCAACACTGTAGAGTTATCCATGTTCCAAAACCATAACATCATTATTTGGGTAATTTATTAATTCAACAAATATTTGTCAAGTAGTAACTCTGTTAGAAACTGCATAATAATTTCTGTATTTTGAATATATGTTTTATTATCTCCTTTTCCAGCTTTAAAATACTTCTTCTTCTTCTTTTTTTTTTTTTTTTTTTTTTTTGAGACAGAGTCTCACTCTGTTGCCCAGGCTAGAGTAAGTGCCATGGCATCAGTCTAGCTCACAGCAACCTCAAACTCCTGGGCTCAAGCGATCCTCTTGCCTCAGCCTCCCACGTAGCTGGGACTACAGGCATGTGCCACAATGCCCAGCTAATTTTTTCTATATATATATATTAGTTGGCCAATTAATTTCTTTCTATTTATAGTAGAGATGGGGTCTCTCTCTTGCTCAGGCTGGTTTCGAACTCCTGACCTTGAGCAATCCACCCGCCTCGGCCTCCCAGAGTGCTAGGATTACAGACGTGAGCCACCCCGCCTGGCTAAAATACTTCTTTAATATATTTTTTTAAAAGCTTTAATAACCCACTCAAAAATTACCAAAGCTAACATCCTTATCAACCCTCTTTTTACCCTTATACATCAATATTTCCCCTTGGGAACCCTCTTTGCTTTGTCAAGCCCACATATTCCCAATTCCTGCTACAGAATATATCTTTTTATATCTGTTCTTGTGTTATTTTTTAAAAAAATTAACAAGCGTTTATTGATCTGTATGCTAAATTCTATACTTGTGTGTGTGGTATTTGTATGTCTGTATTTGGTGAAATGTGGATGTAGAGTGGGAATATATAAAGATCAGTAGAATATAATTGTGACCCTATACTGCCTTATCTTCTGGTAGTAGAGTCAAAAATAAATAATTAAATTTAAAAACTGTGAAAAGAGTGATAATAGAGATACAACAAATATACTACAAGAGAACATAAAAACAAATAGTTTTAGTGGTTAAAAAGGAAAATGAATTTGTGTAAAAGTATTTAAATATTGGAATGGCAACTACATGCAAAATGCTGTATCTAGGAACTTGGAATAGAGTGAACAATAGGACAGAATGTTCTCTGAACTTAGAGAGAACACATTCTGGTCAGGGAGGCTGACAGTAAGTAAAGAAAGAGAAAAGAAAGGTATTTTCAGACGATGGTAAGTGCTGTTGCAGACAACGAAACAGATGATGTGGGACAATGTCTGGGAGCTTCTTCAGGTAAGATGGCCAGGAAGACATGACTGGGAAGGTGATACCAGCAATGAGCGCTACAAATGAGGTGGTCTCTGTTTATCCTCCTTCCTGAATCACTCTCCTAAAAACCAAGACTGGTTCTCTGGATTCCTCAGAGTTGTTGTCCTAATTCCCTTCACCGTCAAGTTTCTGGAAGGAGGAGTTGAACTGGTTTACCCTCTACGTTGACAAGGTGCTTGCCTAATTGCTGACTCCTGGACCTACAGCGCAGACGGACTGCAAGTGTCCACTCAGACCCCCCAACAAATTCAACGTCACACAGCCTGATGGACCTTCATCTTGGGTGCCAACATCTACCCAGTTTCTCAAGTCATCCTTGATGTTCTCCTTCTTGTCTGCGATGAATGTCTTTCAGTTCTGCCTCCCTGACGCGCCTAGCTTCTCTTTCCGACATTCCACACCATCCACAGAGCTTCAGTTCACACTCTGGTCATCGCTCTCCCAGACTCCGCCAGAACCTTCCGACCTGTCTCTGTACTTCCAAGTGTGTCCAAACCCCCCTTACATCTTCCCTGAGGCAGATATGGAAGGTGTTATACCCCCAAACTGTTAAGCATATGTCCATTCTGCTTAAAATGCTATGCTTCAAGAGCTCTCTTTGCCTCTAAGATAAAGTTCAAACCCTACTGTGTGACTATAAAGCATCTCATGACCTGGCACCTGTCTGTCTCCCAGACTCATCCCCCATTCTCCCTCTTCCTCCAAGCCTGAAATCTGAGCAGCGGTAAGTGCAAAAGAAGGTCCTTCCCTTAGGTCCTGTTCTAAAAATGTGGGCTTGCTCTTCATTTCTTATTTTCAAATAACATAATTTCATAAAGTTTCTATTTTAAATAATATTTACTTTGACTTTTTGAGGTATTAACATGTGATATTCATGAAATAAAATTAATAAACTCTAAAGTTTGCTAAAGACTCTAATTTAGTATTTATTGTAGTCTTGTTGTCAACACAGATACACATATGCAGATAGAATGTTCACATTTGGGGAAGTAGGTTCTATTAGTAGGTCATCATTGTTATGAATTAGGAGTGGTTTTCCAACTACTGCTATTCTGACTTTGATTATTTTCATTATACATTTTAGTACTTATGTAAATAATTTTGTTTAGTTTTCAGGGTGTCCTAGAATATATCTAATTCAATAGTATTTTTGGCCTGTGACTTTTCAAAGGCCAATGTCTAAGAGAATTTGGATTGCAGTTCGGGTATGAAACATTTATATTTTGTATTGCTAAAGCAAATATATATATATATATATAGTCTATTCAAAATTGATTTGTACGATGCTGTACATCAAGATGCACTGCTTGTGAATGTGTGGTATTTAACTAATCTTCTATGTGGTAAAATATCTACAAGTCATGTTACAGACAAAACACTCATCTTCCCAGTATATAGAGAACTCTCAGAAATTGATAAAAAGCAGAGGTCAATTACTCTATTAAAAAATGGACAATGGATATGAACAAACTATTTACAGATAAGGATGTATGAATGACTCTTAAACATAAAGACATATAAATTCAAACTGTAGTGAAACATTATGACTTATAAATTTTGTAAAATTTCAAATGCTCAGTAAAATATTCTGCCATTAAAACCTTAGTACATGCATTGTGTTGAATGTAAATTGGTGTGATCTGCATGTAGGGCAATTGGTTATATATTTTTTTCTTTTGAGACAAAGTCTCATTCTGTTTCCCAGGCTGAAATGCAGTGGTGCAATCATAGCTCACTTCAGCCTCCAACTCCTGGGTTTGAGTGATCCTTCTGCCTCAGCCTGCTGACTAGGTAGGAATGCAGGTATGCACCACCATGCCCAGCTAATTTTTAAACATTTTTTTGTAGAGACAGGGTCTTGCTATATTGCCCAGGCTGATCTTGAACTCCTGGCCTCAAGGAATTCTCCCGCCTCATCCTCCCAAAGTGCTAGGATTACGAGCGTGAGCCACCACGCCTAGCTGGTTATAAATATTAACATAACAAATTACTTACACATTATGATCTCTCAATTCACTTATTCTAGACACATTTATACATTTTGGAAATCATCTCTATATAAAGCCATTAATAGAAGTGTAGACTTTCACTGTATTGATTTACATTTAAAAATTTCAGCAATTTTAAAGAAATTATTAATTTCATGAATATGCTATTAAAATAAATTATGGCCGGGCGCGGTGGCTCACACCTGTAATCCTAGCACTCTGGGAGGCTGAGGCGGGCAGATTGCTCGAGGTCAGGAGTTCGAAACCAGCCTGAGCAAGAGCGAGACCCCGTCTCTACTATAAATAGAAAGAAATTAATTGGCCAACTAATATATATAGAAAATTAGCCGGGCATGGTGGCGCATGCCTGTAGTCCCAGCTACTCGGGAGGCTGAGGCAGTAGGATTGCTTGAGCCCAGGAGTTTGAGGTTGCTGTGAGCTAGGCTGACGCCATGGCAATCACTCTAGCCTGAGCAACAAGCGAGACTCTGTCTCAAAAAAAATAAAAATAAAAAAAAATAAATAAATTATGATATCATGTTCTTTTCCATGCATTACATCAAGCAGCTCACATGTCTTAGTACAAGTGTTATTTACATGTGATTACATGATTACATGATGATTACACATGTGATTACATGATTAAGTTATTGTGTGTCAAATTTCTCTAAAGTTGTTTTTTTCATACAGTAGGTAATAGTTAATAGTCTCTAGTGGGGATACTTTGAGAGAGTAGCAATTTCTATTTCTCCTCAAATTTTTCCCACTAATTTTAACATCCATCAGTTTATCTTGTTTACAACAATGGTTTGGTGCAATTATGTAGTGTTTGCCTAATGTCGATTCTTTATTCCTCTCTTCTAATTCACTAAGTGGAATTTTATTGCAAGAGCCATTCCCTCTCCCATTTGTTTATTTACTCAAGTATTTATAATAGTATATATTTATGAATATTTTACTTTATAGTTTAAAACCCAATACCATTATTATTTGTTGCTCAGATTGACTCAACTTTGGTCATTAAGACCATCTTGTCATTAGGTCATAGGTCTGATTGTCTCCTGCGTTCTTTCAAAAGGCTCCCATCTATTTTTGAGCATTTTCCTACTTTCCTACAGGCTTACCTTGCATTTTCCCTGTCCTGGCCCTGGAACCAGCCACTTGTCAAACTATCCCTAGAGGCATCACTTTTATGCCATTCGTCCCAGAAATACAGAATGTCCTTCTAAGCATGAGAAAACAATGGACAAAGCCATACTGAGTGAAATTCTATAAAATAACTGATTAGTAGTCTTCTAATGTCGAGGTCATAAAAAACAAGGTAAGGCTGAAGGACCATCACAGATAGGAAGGCAAAGGAGAAATAACAGTTGAATGCAATGTGGGGTCCTGGATAGGATCCTGGAACAAAGACATTGGTGGAAAATATGCTGACATTAACATAATGTCTGTGGTTCAGTTGATAATACTGTAATAATGTTTATTTCTTGTTTCTGATAATTATAGTTGTGTAAAATATTAACATTGTGAAAAGTATGGTAAGAGATATAAGAAAATTCTTGTAATAGCCTTGCAACTTTTCTATGTCTAAAATTAGTTCAAAGAAAAAGTTAAAAATAGTAAATTAAAAGGGGAAACATACATTGAAGTAGTCTGGAAGGCTCTACAAAATATTAATATAATTCTGGGAAAGAAAAGTTCATCAATTGTGTATATGTGTGGAAATATATTGTGAACGTGCATAGTAACTTTGGAAGGACACGCACGAAACTATGAATACTTGAAAACTGTGAGGACATTGGGAGACAGGGAGTGAAACAATTCTTATTGCTGTTATTTTTTTAATCATGTGTATGTATTATTTATGCAAAAAATGTAAAAAGTAAGTGATATTATATTGTTGAAATAAGTGTAATGATTTACAGGGTTAATTTAAAATGTGTAGATTATTATTTAAACATATAATCAGGTATATAGGTATTTTATCTCATTGATAAAGTGATTCATACATATTAATGTTAGAAGTTTGCTAAAATTCATGTATTTCGTGTCTTTTTAATATCACTTTTTTCCTAGAGAGGAAAAATGATTGTTTTAATGGTTGTAGGTCTGGGGCTCCACCCAAGTGGCATATAATTTTTAAAATGCTTGATTGCCACCAAGGTAAAGCTCTGCTTTCTCTCAATAATCAATTCTTTTTCACAGCTGTTCTCTTGTCAAGAATGCCTTCCTGACCATTTTTTAAAAAAACCTTTGAAGCCCAGCTTAGATATTATCTTCTTCACAAAGCTTTTTCTGATCTCTAAACCCCAGATTTGAGCTCCACAACCCTCTATGCTTCATTATGCTGTGTGCGTGCCTCTGCATAACCTCTATTTTGTTATAATTATTTTTGTCTCTTTCTTAGGTTATGTGCAACTTAAGAGAAGAGACTGGGTCTTTTATCTTTGTACCATTTATAATTCAGAAAATGAAGGTCTTGATATCAAATATGTATATATATATCTTTTAAATGATGCAATTAAAATAAATGTAAAATACAAATATAGCAATCTCATACTTCCTGGAATGAGCAAATCTACACAGAATTAAGTCATCTCTATGAAGACGAAATGAAGTCACAAGGCCTAAGGTCTGAAAAATTTACACAAAGTGTAAAGAAAATAGTAGATAATAGCACTGAAGTAATCTTAGAGATGAACAACCAGATCCTATTAAGTAAGGACCCGGAGCGAGGGGAAAGGGTGTGGAGTGAAGCAGATTCGGTAGAGGTATTCTTGCTGGCCAGTTAGAGGTGGGTAAGAAAACCACAAGCCAAGAGATGTCCCAACCACAGAAACAAACACCTTGGGATATGAGCACAGAGGAGCCATCAGCAAGCTTAGGTGAACTGCCCTCATTAACATAGCAAAAATCACACCCACTGGCGCTGACAGTTTACAAATGTCATGGCAACCCCTGGAAGTCACCCTATAAGCACAAGTTAAGGGAGGCCCGCCGTTTAGCATACACCATATGATGTAGACATAAAAGTAGAAATGTATTAGAAACCAGGGTCTTCTCCATTGGCAGAGACAGAGCTGATCCCACTCCGGAACGCACTGTGCTTTAATAAATCCTGCTGTTTGGCTTGCTCATTCGTTCTGTCATCAGGGTACCAGTAACTGTTCTTTGGTACTGGGAACCAAGAACCAGGGAACACAGCAGGAACTTCAACCCAACAATCCCGCTCTTCATACCTGTGAGGGAACCTTGCTATTTACATTGGGTTCTTTAGATTTTGTGAAACAGATTCAATCAAAGCGTTTATTCTAACTTTTCACTAGGGGTGATAAGGGTGATGCCCCAGTGTACAAGTTAGGGAGGCACTTGGACTAGATGTCTGAATCCCGAAAGGTTCTCCGCCGTCCAGGCCGCTGTGACACTGAGCGCAGGCTGTGTCACTGTTGCCTTCCGTCCCTGTCTTGACACTTCTGCAAAAACACAACCCTCCCTCACCTGCACTGTGGCCCCAGACAAGAGAATTGAAGCCTCAAAGATATCCCAGAACCAGGAGAAATCTAAAAGGTGAGTTCTGGGGACATAGTGACACGGTCCTGGCAGCCCCCTTAGAGCTTTGCCACCAGCACGACACAGTGGCTCTCCCTGCTACCTTCTGCAGGGCGTCTGTGACTTTCTGCTATTACCAGCAGGCTCCTTCTACTCTGCATATATGAAACACAAAAAATACATCAAAAAATATTATCTCATAGCGTCTAAATAAACTATGATTTATCATGACTCTGACTTTTAAGATTGTTATGGCCACAACTCAGGGCTTCTCTTTATGTACTTTTTTTCAGCCTTGGTTCTCATCTCATTCTCTTTTATTTTGCATTTCTGTTTCTGGAGACAATGTGACTGTCTCTGCTCATTTATTGTGTGTCTGTGTGTCTGTGTTTGGATTCCAGGTACCTGTTATCTTAGGAAATAGCTGCTTTAGGATGGATTAGCAGCTCGCACTGATGGTCCCAGCTACAGCTGAGGCACTGTGTGGGGGTGTGGGCTGGGGCTCCTTTGGTTCAAAAATGACTTCCTGCAAGTGCTTATTCAGCATTCTGAAGAAAACAAAAGTCAGAAAATCTAATGGGCAACATTAAGATTGCAGGTCCTTAGGTATTGTTGGTCTATCAAACAAAATTAGGTTGGAAATAAGATTAAAATATAGTATTAGATCCCAAAAAGTCAATTTACCTAGATGTCATACTTAGGTGTTCATATACATAGTAAAATGGAAATCTGGGGATGAAGAACCACTGTGGGTGTGTGAGGCGCTGACACCTTGTACGCAGCGGACGTCCCTCAGTGTCGAATGAGCACGACGGCAGCTGGACGCTTCACACTGTGCCTTTTCCCTTCTCCTGTTGGTGTTCTCAAGCTTTGCTTAGAATCCTTGCTTGAATAAATGTTCTGCATTGATTTCCAGAACTCTAAATTTAATGTCTATGAAAACATCCTGATATTTAAACATCTGAAACTCATTTCAAGTGTTTTTGGATAGTTACTCATTAATTTTTCCTTTGTAATAATGCAATTTGTTACTTTTTAAAGTTATTGTTATTTGAAGATTTACATCTGACTGATAGAAGCAAATCAAGATATTGGAGCTATTTTTCTCTGAATTATTTTAATGTTTCTTTCTATAATTATTTAAAGAATACGATAAGTCATTCCTTTTCCTTCTTTTTCTAACATCTGGGACAAAATTCTTTTATGACAGACTTCACTAGATTTTCAACGATGTCTCTTCCTCCTTCATTTTCATTTGGCACAAGAAGTATAGATTGAGTTGGATTCGTGTCTATAATACGATACATTTAAGATATTATAGAAAAATTTCTGTATATGTAGAGTTTATACATGTAACTTAAGGAAATGTGATTCCTCACATAAGTAAATGTGATTAAAGTGTTCACAGGCACTAGTAAAAATGTTGGATGTTGCAATAAAAGAAGGAAAATTTTACAGTGTGTTTGAAGAAAATGGTGGTTAAGTAATAATGCTGTTTGCTGATTGTACAGGTTTAATTCACTTAAAAATGGTTGTAACTTCTGGTATCATTTATATGCCATTAATTCCCAACCTTTCTTTCCAGTCCAACTCATTTTGCTAAACTCCAGACTCATATAATCACGTGTTTATTGGACATTTCCATTTAGATGTTCTAGAGAGAGCTAAATAAAAAAGAACCAACATGTACTTGTCATTTTGTCATCCCATTTCCAAACACCTTCACCTGGGCTCCTATTTTATTGAATGACACTGGCATCTACTTAGCTATTCAAGGCAAAAAATTATTAATTTTCCTTTCTTTCATCCTCATTGTCTGTCTCCCAAGATCACCAATCTTGGTTTTTCTACCTACAAAATATTTCTTAAATAATGTTGTTCTATCCATTTTTATGTCTAGTTCCCTTATCCAATAGGACACCAATTTCTTTCACTTAAAATATCACAATTATTTTTACTTAAACATTATAAGTAGTGTCCCTAACTTTATTTTGCATTTCTCTCTCCTCTCTGATGCCAAAGTGATTTTCCTAAAATATGAGCTTGGGCATTTCTCTGTCCTGCTTTCTTCTTTGACAGAATCTCTGTCTTCTCTCATCATTACACTAGATTCTAGCTTTCCTGATCTGGTTTGCTGATTGCTTGGTTTGCTGACTCTACCACACCCTCACTCAGCTCAAGGGCCATGTACCTACTGCCTCTTTGCCTGAGAAACACTCTCTTAGCTTCTTGGTCTGGCTAATTCTTAGCAGTGCTTTGACCGGCTGCTTCAAAGTTGAGTCCTTGGGGTAGAATTCTTCAGTTTCACAAGGTTAAATATTTTACCTGTGAGCTTCCAGAGCACCCGGCTCCTCCTCTATCCTAAAATTCTGAATTAAAATTTCTCATTCAATTTATGTTTGCCTTGTAGGTTATAAATGTCACAAGGGTGGAAATCATGTCTACCTTCTTTATCCTCATAACCCTAACATCTACAAGAATTTCTAGACCTCATAGGTAAGAATAAATACTTGTTAAATGAAAGAATGAAAGTGCTCTGATTTCTTCTTTCTGTGCAGAGGGTGTTTTCTTTCACATAGCAACTGTGGTCTGTCTCCTATCATCACATGCATTTTTCTGAGGGGAGTGAGTGAGTGATGTGACTCATAACATTTTGGAAGAATAATTTGACTATGCTAGCTAAGTCACTTCTTTTTGTCTTTCTCTTTAGGTCAACACACCTGTTTGCAGAAAGAATGAATTCTGCTTGGCTTCTATGTGTGTTAAGGTTGACAAATGCAGGATCCCCTATGAGAAGGTCCGTGGTGGCTTAGTGCTGCCTGAGCCCAGGTTGGTGTCTGTCAAGATCTGGGGTCACAGTTAGGAACCTGCCTGCTGCAGGTTTCCTGATTGCTCCTGCTTGCTGTGAGTCTCCCTCTCCCTCATCATACTGCTCAGTGGTAAAGGCAACATCTATATTGTCTTCCATTCACTTTTTCTTGTTTTTAACTAGTTCGGGGGTGGGGGAAGGAAATAGAATATTGTTTATTAGTCTCACTGATGCCAACAATGCCACAGCGGCATTGCTGCATTCTAGGCTGTTTCCTCCATTTATTCATTTAGGCAACAAATACTTAGTAAGTGTCTACTAGGTGCCAGGCAACCCTGAGCAATAATAATTCTTCCACTTGAGCTTTAAAAACTAAAAATAGACATTAGTTAGTTCATGACTCTATTCCCACTAGAATGCAAACTTCCTGCTGAAGTTGAATTGGTTAGTATTTGGAGTTCATACTATTCTAAATGGATTTCAAAGTGTGTACAGTGGAGTTGGAAAATGTGTTGTTCATTTGAGGGCACTAATTTATATGTCCTTTTCTTTTCTACTACTCTTCTTAATTCTTTTAGGTAAGTGAAATAAACTATTCTTTAGGCTTCTAAATATTTCTAACATTGCACCTCTGCCTTCAATTAATTTAATTTGTACTTAAAGAATATCTACAACTACATTTAAGCAAAAACAGTTTCCATGGAAACATCATAGACTTTCTAAATCCAGGCTATGATGTAATCAACTAAAATGACTATCATACCCAAATTCTTATTTATTTCATCTGTAGCATTTTCATTTAAATCTATTATACCACACATAAATTTTCCACATCTGAATTTAACTTGGAGGTATAGGAGATTTTCTCATTGCTTCTATTTTAGAAATTTGTGTTTGATTTCACAGTATTATGGAATTCACAATTCTGCTAAAGTTAAGCTATCGACAGAATGGGTTGGATTATGTAGAGTGAAACTATATGATGTTGACCTAGTTTTTACAAAATTATGGAAATTTTCTACCCATGCTGACAGTATGTGGAAAATCACTGTAGTCAAAATATTACAGAAGAGTGAATCTCATATACTAAGTTAATTGTTATTGTTTCACATATTAACATATTATATTATGGGGTAGTTGAGGATATTGTCCTTGATTTTATAAAGTATATAATCTACTAAGATAATTTTTTCATATATATATATGTATATATATATACACACAAATTTTTATTTAATTGCTTTTAATTTAAGTAGTAGTTCTGAATAACTATTCTGTACAGCTGTATACAATTGATGTTATTCTCTAAAGTACTGTAATTTAATGGTAGAAAATGTCAAGATCTTTGCTGGGTTCAGATCAGCTATTTGTTTCAATAAATCTTGCCTTTTGAGCCTATAAACTCTAGATAGAGAATTTTATATGTGGTTTTCTTTGCTCATATAAAATTTTTCTTTTTTCGCTCACTGTTTTTCCTTTGTTCCTTACTTATGGCTCCAGTCAGAAGCATAGACATGCAGGATAGAAAATCAAGAGCATTAATTTGTGGAAAAAGTCTAGTTACATCTTAGAGGATAAATAAAAAAGGAGAAAGGAAATAAAATCATCAGATATGTTAATACTCTCCAAGATGCCCCAGTAGGGTTCAAAAATGGTCAAGGAATTTATGGAGCTATATAATTCAGAGGAAATGCTTTATAATAATTTTGCAAGATATATACAGTCCTTTTTACTCTCCACATTTATAGAAGATTGTTCATTTTATAGCACATAATATATACAATATTATTATATCTGTAAATATCTCTTCTCCTAGTCCCAATGTCCCATATGGATAAGAAATTTCAAGAAAGCAGTTATCAACATTGACAACAGTTTCAGAGAGGTCAAAAGGGATGGAATACACTGGGTTAGAGAAATCTGGACATTATTGGTGATAGTCACTAGAACAGACTCAGGAGGTGTTGGTTATATTTCCTCAGCACTCCCTCAGAGATAATACACCATTCTATATACTCTGTGCATACAAGATTTAATAGAAAATTAAAGGTTTACAGGACTTGGACGATCAAAGGAGTGGAGGTTGCCACTGAGGATAAGGGGACCTGTTGGTGACAAGTCAGAGAAATTGAACATGAACATCTCAATTTGATAAACTAAAGTGAATCATTTTTAAAAGCTTGCCAGAAGCTGTTCTATGTCTCAGTTCTCTGTGGGATGCTCACAGCAACTGGGCCAGTCAGCAGGAGCAGAAGATGGGCACTGAGAGCTTCTCTGAAAGCCATGGTGACTCTCATCTCGCACACATCAACTGCTTCCAAGAAATGTGGATTCTGGTCTCCGTCAGCCTAATTCTCACCTGAGTATTTCGTACAGAAAAATTCTAATCCAGAGCCCTATAAAGAAAGGGGTTCTAGGGGATGAATTTGCAGGGTTGGATAGGAGGGCAGTGGTGCTGAGTTGGCAACAAGTTGGTTCCCATGGCTTAAAATGTGGGCCAGAAAATAGACTTTTTCTTCAGAAAGGAAGAAGCTAATAGAGAAGGACAGATTGTTGTATGATAAAATGAGATGATTGTTAATGAGGACCTGGTCTCTGAAGGAGATGGGAGAGGTTGAGAGTGAAGCGTGATTCGAGCGTTGAGTCTTGAATAGCAGGAAGGACAAGGTTCTCTAGGAAACTGAAGATGAGACAGCACGGTGCATAAATAGATTAATTTATTGGGTTCAGAGTGATGAATGGAGGGAATGTATAGGTGATGGCCTCTGTTTTCTCTGTGAAGTAAGAAGTGATGATGCTGCTGACAGGGGATCTGGCAAAGGTAGCTGTGAGGAGAGTGGACCTGTTTGGAGCAATGCAGGGGGATGGGGACAGGAGTCATATGCGAACGAGTGGAAGATTGCTGAGTTCGCCGAGAGCTCAGAGGAGGCCAGAGCCCACACATGCGCAGTGGCACCAATCTGCATAACCGCTGGATTCCCCCACCTGAACTTGCCATCTTTGATGGATTTACAGCTCACTGGGGTTCCTCTTTCCTGTGAGAGTAATGAGTGAGTGCCCTGTGCTTATCTTCATCCTGGAGATTCACATGGACACAGCAAAAATGGTCTATTTGTGCCTGTTTTTTATTAGGCATTCAGTAGAATGAATGTCAAATGGAACTGAACCAAACTGGTTGTAGCAAGAGACTTGATCTAGGTTTAGTGGGTGGTGGAGTCCGTGATGTAAAAACACAGAGGACCAGGGAGTTGGTGGGAAGCATCGGTGACAATGTCCCTGAAGGAAGTGAATCCAGAGTCTAGGCTGGGCAGGAAAGAAAGCAAGGCCTGGAGAGGGGCTGATAAAAAGGGCTAGAAATGAAAGGAAGAAGAGAATCAAAGTCTTGAGAGATTTAAGAACAGAGTTAGTGGGAATGAGGAAACTAGAAAAAACAACAACAGGAATGGTAGTCAAAGAGTGGATTGTTGGGGACATTTTTAGAGGAATAGAACTTATACATGGCAGAGAAAAAAATTCCAATTATATCCATGGAATGAGGGAAGGGCACTGAAACTCAGAACATGAAAGAACTAAAGAAGATGGTACGTGGCAGCCACTACACACTGTTGTGTACTACACCATTGCAGTCCACGTTATAGTCTGTGTTTGCACCTCCTGGAGGTGCACATTGCACAGCCAGTGTGGCCGTGCGCAGGGGTCCTGAACAGGGCGTTATTCATGTGGACCTTGTGACTTTGGCAGGTGTTTGCACTCAGTTCTTATAGTTACGTAAGTGGGAATACAGGTCATTGTGGGACGGCTTTCTGAATACAGCAGAAAAGAAATGAAATCAAACTGAGACAGGTTTTACAGAGTTCAGGAATGGTGCCCTGTGACACAAAGCATCTTTTGATGGACAGAAAGGAACCTTTTCATGTTGGAAGCTGCATTAATTTAGCTGTGATCAAATAAGGCCACACTCAAGAAACTTCAATTAGATATACTTAAAAATATACATTATTTTATAAAAATCTAAGTACTATGTACTTAATAATTTCAAAAAATGAAAACTATTTGTTAATTTTAAAGTTAACTAGCCTTTTAATGACTTTGTTGTGTCTACTTTTTGTTGGAAAGCATTTGAATGTTTGGTTGCAGCATGGAGGTCTGCAGTTTCAGTTGGTCCTCTAGATGGGTGTCAGTCATTTCTGACATTAAGGGTGTTTTTATTTGGGTTAGGTAGGAGACTGTAGATTCACAGCAATAAGTAGTTGAAAAGCAAAAAAAAGCATTTTGTGAGCATGTTGCTAAAGGTGTGAATATTCAATTGCATTTTTCCATATTTCAATTGGATCTTTCTTAACATCAAATAATGACTTTAAATGTCCTCCACAGAGAGCTCAATCAATTCCATCTGTAGTTCTTTAGTGCCTTGGTGCTATTAACCACTTCGGTATGAGCATCGACTATAGTCGATAGCCACAGATGAATGTGCACAGCGACTTTAGCCAACAACCGTGATATGAAGGTGCACAGCCGAGCGTCAACTTTAGCTGACAGCATGATATGACTTTTCCAATTTTTCATTTAGAAAAATAAAATTGTGAACATTTAAAAATAACGTAATGAAAACATATATGTGTATGTTACCTATTCTGATTTACATTACAAGTAAAGCTGCCTGTAAAGTAAGACAAGCTTTCAGTGCTTTAAAGCTTTCCTCATCACACAAGAGAAAAACAGATTCATCATCAATATATAGCAGAAACTATTGTGTGGACTACGAGTGCCGGCTGTGGGCAAGGTTTCGCAGCAGGTGAACGACATGCCAAAGTGGTTAACTAAGTGAGGCTGAAATGCTAATTTGAGTGCAGTGTTATGATTCTCAAAGTCAGTGAACCTTTCATTGTATTCTCCAATTAAAAATTCTTTAACAGCTGTGTATTCTTCAAATTGTTCACATATACCATCCTGCTCATCAATGACCTTTGCCAACTGGGGAAAACGTTTATTTGAAATTTCCTTTTGAAGAAGTAGTATT